CGCGCTGATTGGCTGGGCGGCCGGCGGCGGCGCGGAGTGGAGGGGCAGATTCGCTGGGTCAGGGCTGCAGAGGCGCCTGGCGCACCGGCGGGAGCGGAGCCGCTGCCCGCTCGGTCCGGACGCCGGACACCCGTCCTGCTCGGTGAGCGGCCCGGGACGCCGAAGGAGGGTCGGCGCGGAGCGCGGGACCGCCGCCACGGTCGCCATGTGCTCTCAGATCTGGTTCCTGACGGACCGGCGCATCCGCGAGGACTACCCGCAGGTGCAGATCCTGCGCGCCCTCCGGCAGCGCTGCTCCGAGCAGGACGTGCGCTTCCAGGCGGTGTTCATGGACCAGATTGCCGTCACTGTCGTCGGCGGCCACCTAGGTGAGCGAGCCCCCCCGGGGGGGCGGGGAGGGGCGCAGGGGTCCCCGAGGGCCGGCTAAGGGAGGCGCGCACCCCCTGCCAAATCTTCGCCTCCAACCTGCAGACAACTCTCCGGGTCCCACAGGCCGTCTGCTCTCCACCTGCAAGATCCCCCGGAGCATAGAGATAACCCCTCACCTTGATAGCTCCTTTGAAGCACCCACCAACTGCCCTGAGGCCAGGATTAGAGAATGGGATTTTTATTTACTTAATAGACTTCGTTTTGTGTGGTGCTCAAATTCACCTGAAGCCAAATTCACCTATCAAGGTGCAAACCCCAAATTTGTAAATTCTACTTGCATAGGTACCCTCCCAGTCTAGACAGGTAAGAAACCAACACTGAATTTGCAAAATTGCTCTTATGACAGATGTTTTGGAAACTTTTCCAGCGGTGTGTATGCATCACCAATCCCCTGGATAGAATATTATTCCCGGGCTAGAGAGATGGCTCAGCGGTTAAGAACATTGACTGCTCTGACAGAGGGGACCCAGGTTCGATTGCCAGCACCCAGAAGGCTGCTAAAAACCGTCCGTAACTCCAGTTCCAAGGGATCCGACGCCTTCTTCTGACCTTGCAGGGCCTTGCACGACACAGATGCACTCGTGCAGGCAATACACTCATACACATGTAACAATAATAATAATAATATTCCCGAACTGGGAACTTACATATGGAGGACAGCTAAGAAAGATTGGAATCACCTCTGGAGATAGTAACAGAAGAGAAACCTAGGAGGGGTTTTCTTTAACTCCTTCCTAATTCTAATTCCAGGAAAGTCAACATTTCACACCATTCTGACCTTACCACTTCACTGCTGGGTCCAAGAGATTGTTTTGGCTAAGACATGGTTATCGTCCCTGACTCTAACCTCAAAAGGTTAAGTATGTGTTCAGGCCGTCCTGTTATCCTAATACAAGCCGGTTTTGTATAAGTAGTGCATGTCTTAGGAACCCCCTCTCACCGGCTCCATAGCTGTGTCTCCAGCAATCTGGCCCGGGAGTATTCACTTAATTTCAGGGGGTCCAGGACTGAAGAGGGCTTAAGAGTAGTTTAGGATGCCTCTTGAGATATATTATTCCAGCCCTTCTCTGATTAAATAGGAATCCCTTCAGCAGGGGAAGGGACTCCAAATGTTGAGCAGGTTTTGAATATAAGTCCCTAAGTGAAAGTATCCGTTGTAGATTATTCGTCCATAAGTTTACCTAAACCCGTGTGCATTAGCAGATTGCACATACCTTTGGAGAAGTGCGCTTAAACATTAGGTGCCTTAAATTTAATCTAAAGTGGCGTCGTTTGAATGTAAAGAGTACTGTCTCTCAAGCCTTGATTTGCTAGAAACTCTCCCAATTGGTTAATGAAGAACTTGATTCCAGAACGGAAGAATCTGCTTCTCGGCTTTTCTGATGCTGTTAAGCATCTTAGCTTTGTTTTGAGTATGTCACTTTATCTTTGCATCTTGTTTCCTTGTTTCTCATTTACCAAATCACGAGTTGAGGTTCTCCAGGCTTGAAAAATTCCATGTTTCAGATCCACATTTAAATAGAAGGATTTATTAAATTTTGGTGATCTCTTTTAAGTAGTTAATATATACATTTTCCACTCCCAAGATGCACTTATTTTGCAGATTATAAAGATTTTTTTTGAGATATAGTAATCAGAATTTCATGTCACGTTCATCTTGTAAATCCATCATGAATTCTGCACGAGCTGGATATTGCTCTCTGTATCTAAAACTCCATTTTAAAGGATCAGATGTAGGAAAAGAGAAAATTAAGTCTTAGCACTTCAAAAAACATTTAAACACTATGCTGTTTTTTGTCAACTTGACAAAAACTAGGGTCACCTGGAAGGGAAAACCTTAGTTGAGAAATTACCTCCGGCAGAGTGGCCTGTGGGCATGTCTGTGGGGCATTTTCTTGATTGCTAATTGATGTAGGAGGGTCCAGCCCGCTGTGGTCCCTAGGCAGGTGGGCCTGGGCTGTGTAAGAAAGGTAGCTGAGCAAGCCAGTAAGCGGCCTTCCTCTGTGATCTCTGCTTCAGTTCCTGTCTTTGCTCCTGCCTTGGCTTTCCTCAGTGATGGACTGTACAAACGAAATAAACCCTTTCCTTCCCGAGTTGTTTTTGGCCATGTTGTTTATTCACAGCAACAGGAAAGCAAACTAGGACAACACTTTAGTGTTTTAAAATCGAATAGAACTTATTATTCACGAACCAGGAATTACTTCTTATTTGTTTTTTGTTTTCTGCTTTTTGTTTTTGATTTTGTTTTGAGACAGAGTCTCACTGTGCAGCCCTGGTTGGCCTGGAACTCGATGTGTAGATCAGGCTGGCCTCGAACTCACAGAGTTCTTTCTGTGCCTCTTGAGTATTGGGACCAAAGGCGTGCACCATGACGCCCAGAAAATATTTCTTTTTAACTGTGAGAAAGTCTATATAGTTGTATGCTTGTTGGGTGGAGAAATTGAAGACGCTTTTTTCTTTTGATACAGGATCTCCTTGTAGCCCCAGTTGGCCTGGGACTCACTATGTAGACCAGACTGACCTCTGTCTCACAGAGATCCGTCTGCCTCTGCCTTCCAAGAGTTGGTACTAAATGGGTGCACCACCACGCCTGGCTTAGGACAGGTATTTTTTTGGCACAGAGGAACACACTGCATATAGGAGACACTAAGTGAATGTTTTTGAATGAATAAAGATATATGAGATATTTCCAAGTTTCTTCTATAGTCAAACTAAGGAAACCCCTTGGTAATTTGCTGAGCCCAAGTATTTCTCTGAAAAAATTTCTAGAATTCACTTCTTAGAAGTATAGAAATGTAGAGTTGCCATGATATGCTAGTTCTCATTTGAGAAGCTTAAAATATGAGCTGGGAAAGGCTTTAAGATCAGGCATCCTTTTTTAAAAAATTTTTATTTTTATTTATTATGTATATGAGTATATTGCCTGCATGTATGTAAGTGTGCTCATGTCGCGATGCCTGGGGAGGTCAGAAGAAGGCATCGGATCCCCTGGAACTGGAGTTATGGATGGCTGTGATCTGCCATGGGGTGCTAGGAATCCAACCCAGGTCCTCTGCAAGAGCAGTTAATGCGCTTATCTCCTGAGCCATCTCTCCAGCCCCAAGAACAGTCATTTTGACCCCTTCATTTGGCAAAGAAAAACCCGAGGCTCAAAGAGATGAAGAGACTCTCTTAGTGCCATCCATCTAGTTAACAACAGAACCATAGTTCAAAACCTCATTTCCTAATACCCAGCCTACTGATATGAGTAAGTGTGCTTTAGGATGTCTGTAACCTGTAGTATCTTTCTCAGTTGAAAGAGGTGGGCTTGGACTACATTGAATTAAATTAAGACTATGCAGTAACTTTGCACAGTAACCATGTAGTTCAGGGCGTTAGGGAACCTGTACAAAGCCTTCATGCCTTCCCCCCCTTCCATTGCTTCTTTATATTTGGGGAGGGTATTGGCAGGCAATACCTCAGAAGCTTGGTTTATGCTCTTTCCTAAGTCTTCTCTGTGAGGCTAGTGGGAGCCCAAAGATGGGGATCACCATTTCAGGGGATATCTGGAATCAGGATTTAAACGAGAGGCTTAAAAGTTTTGAATGTAAAGATTGCAGTTATTTTAAACATGACTTTACATAGAAATTGAAAATACTATAAAATGCAAGGCATCATCATTATTATTTTAATCCAGTGAACTACCCTGACCAGCACAGCTTTGGGGGGGAGGCTCTTAGAAAAGGGCAATGGTCTTTGGGTGACTAGAACAATCCTATAGACAATATCCTCCTATAACACTCTGTGAGTCTAACATTATGAAAATCGTAACAATCTAACCATCTAATTTTCTTTTAGAATCTGCAGATTCTTCATTTAACAAATATTTATCAATTATTCTCAACCCTTAGGCATAAGTGGTAAATAAGACCAAATGCATATAAATAATAATAGTAGTAATAATAGTCATAGTAATATGACGTGTGTGTGTGTGTGTGTGTGTGTGTGTGTGTGTGTGGTTTGTGCTAGGTTCTTTTTACTTCTTAGCCCTCATAGATGTCAATAAAGGTCACTGCACATATCACACTAGCGGGGAGTTACAACCATACTCAGTATTCTGTCTGTCTCTTTACTTTGTGCATTGGTTGGTACTGGCTTCCCATGTTGCCCTGTGACTCCTGGACTTGCACCACAATCTATCTGAGATGCCCATCTGGTTCCTCCCATATGGTGGAACTTAATTCATTTCTCAAATCTATCACAAGTCACTCATCTTTTCTAAAGTCTTTCTTGAGCTCCCTACTCTGTCTCTTCCATGTGCTGCCAAATAACATTAGAATAGTGCTCATTGGATTTTATTCTGATTTGTTTACAAGATTTTATCCCTTGATCTGATTCTTCAAATATATATTCCATAACCAGTACACAGTAGGTCTTCAGTTAATGTTTGTTGGATGACTGAGTGAAGTTCTTAAAAGGCTAATCTGGAAGGCAGAGGCAGGTGGATCTCTGTGAGTTCAAGGCCAGCCCGGTCTATATAGGGAGTTCCAGGCCAGCTGGGGCTACAGGGAGACCCTGTCTCAAAAAGACCAAAAAGAAAAAAAAAAAGCATAATCTGGAGTAGATGAGACTTGTACTGTAAAGTACAAGAGGTTTTTTATTGTAGTTAGCTCCTGTGGAGATCACAATTGGACATATACAAGTTTTTGTAAGAGCCATTACTTGAGGACAGGTTTGCTAATGAGATTTAAGTTCTCTGACCACCCACAAGTCAGAATCATGAACTGACAAGGATAGTTTCAAATTCACAAATACTAAGACAGAGAAAGTGAGTCTGACCTGGGACAGGGTGCCGTGTTAGGTCTGCCTCTTAGGAGCAGAATGATTCAGCATTCCTTCTCTAACTTGAGAGCTCAAGCTTTGGAAGCCACATTTATTTATTTATGTGTTTATTTTTATA